GGGGCTGGTTACAGACCCCCATCGAGACGGGGCTGGTTACAGACCCCCATCGAGACGGGGCTGGTTACAGACCCCCATTCAGTGGGGGCTGGTTACAGACCTCTGTTGGTACAATGGATAATCCTCAAATGTAAGGTAGCTTGATGGATCATGTGCCTTTTTCTTTAGTTAGTGAGTTAATACTGTGGTTAATAACAGAGGTATTCATATGAGGCTGCATTTGATAACAGAAAAGAAAATTATTTCATGCATGAAATGAAAAAATAAAGTGAGATGCTTAAATATAAATGACAGAATGATTTCAAAATGCGCAGCAAAACAATGTTTGAACTTATTTCCTGACACAAAGTGTCACAGAGACTCTAGTCCAGAGAACCTACAATCCCATCTCTTAAAAGTTTCCTTCCAGAATTGTGTCTGTGGACTGTGGAGACAAGTCTTTTCCGAATCTGCCAACATGAGCTCTTCTGTTAGCTGAAACATTCTCAGTTCTAATAACTTGTAGATTTTGGATCACACTCCTGGTTTGAAAGTTTTACAAGCTAAACCTGTGATAACTCATTGGGATACTGTGTTGGAAATCAAGCTTCATTATTTCTGCAGTTGTCACAAATTCAAAATTAACCAAACTATCCAAAGTGCCCAATTTACCTGATTGAAGGACTCAGGTTAAAAAACACTCACCAAGTTTCTATATTTAACAAGAAAGCAGCTATTTATTGCACATTGTTTTCAGCCAATGGCAGAATGGAAACATGAATTGCTCTCTATAAATTAAACTTTATCCATTTAAAGAAAATTCCCATATACAATGAAACAGACACACAAAAGGCAAGACACAAATGTTTTGAGTGGGGATGGAACCGAAAATGTCACTGAAGCACAGCTCTGCAACCTGTCCACATTACAGACATTAATGAGATGTTTTCCTTCAGCTCCCTCCCAGTTCCTTTGATCTTTTTGAGGAGGACATGAAGTTGTTGTCACACACAATCTCAACCTTTGATTTCCCAGTTGAGGATTCACCCTTTCAGGGTCTCTGAAGGATTTTTTTTCCCTTTTAGGAAAGGATTTTGCAGAGACAGAAAATAGCTACTTGAAAAGGTCTTTTACTTCACTCATATATGAGAGAGAAATATATTCTCCTTTACAGGTTGGATATTACCGCTGTATTATCCAACAGAGCCACTGTCCCAGGAACCAATCAAGAAGTTGTTATTATGCTGAGTACTCCTGAACACACAGCTGGTTCTGGTTGAAAACCAGTCAAAATCTGTCACTGGGTAAAGCTGCCCCTGCAAAGACAGCCACAGAGCCGAGCTGTAACGTCTTCTCCCACTGCATAACTAAGGCCATCTTGTGGATTCAACATACAATAAGTTCCATTAATTCACTTTTTTAAACTGCAATATCTTTTTGCATAACCCTTTGGTTTAAAGCAGTTCCCATTTTCAATCTGAAAAATAATCGTGGTCTTTACCTGCTTCCAACCTAAGGAGAAGTGGAATGCTATTGCAAAAATGTGTTTTATCACAAAGTATATGACACATTGACAATAAACTGCAAGAATTTCATCCACTCATCTTTCTTCATCCCTTATGTAAGCCTTTTACAATCTTTATCATCTTTTTCTTAAATTTTAATGTATAATCCTGAAACCTCCTTTGCTACTGTAATGTACTTATTCTAATATTGGTTTAGTTTCTTTAAAAAGTACCCATTAGCGTCTCTGTTCCTGACTCATCATGTAGCAAGACTGCATCTATCCCCAAGTCACTAGTATCAATCACCATGTTAAGAGGTTTAGCAGAATCAGGCCAAAACTGGTTCACTTATTAATATTGCCTTCAGCTTCCCAAAGGCTGCTTAGTATTCTGACCACTACTTTTGCCTGTTTCTGGAACAAATTTGTTAAAGGTACAGGTACTGTACCTACCTACTGAAGTTATGTACGAATTTCCGATAAAATCTTCACATGTCTAAAAGTCTTATGCTTTCCCTGTTTGATTTTAGGAATAGAGAATTCAGTCAGGACCTTCACTTTTATAATTTTTGATAATACATGCCCTTACCCTATGATAGTTCTTAGGTATGTTAATTATAGGTGAAGCTACAACCTTTACTCCAGACAAATCATTAACCAGATTTAAGTCCACAGATAATTTCTTAACTGCCCTCACTACGAATGGTCTGGAAAAGCAGCCGTACTCCAGTTGCTGTTTGTACAATGGAGCTGGGTTGTACTCTTCACCTGTCCTGTTCACTGGGACTTTGATTTCCATTGTACTATGAAGAGGGAAAAATTGCACTGTCAGCATTCTGGTTCGTTGCTTGTGGTTGAAGCTGCAGTTTGATTAGTCATATTTTCATTTTGCATGCCTTTTTCAGATACATTCGATGAGCCCAGAAACATCCCCTGGGCTACTCTTGCAACATTGCAGCATTCTGAATAAAAGTTTTCCATGTTGTTACCAAGGAAACACTTAGCCTTTCAATTTTCATCTCCATCTTCAGTACTATCTCTTCTTATCGAGGAGAAGATATTGTTCTTTTCTTTACCCTGGCTACATGCCTTTCTTTCACTCTTCCATCTTCTCGCGTTGAGTTTATGGGGCTGATGGAGTAAAGGCTTAGTTTACTGGATCAGCTCAGAAATCATCAGACATTGCTGCAGCCTGTCTAACAGTTGCAACCCTTTGGTTTTCAGCATGGTTTCTTATCATAGAAGGTAGAGAATTTTTAAATTCTTCCATGATAATTACCTCTCTCAGAGCTTCATGCATCGAGTCAGTTTCTAATGCTCATAACCACCCATCAAAATTAATTTGCTTAACTTTCAAATTCAATGTATGTACGTCCACGTAGTTTTCTTAAATTTCAAAATATATTTGTGATTTTGGAACTCATATGGACCTAGTCCCATTTAATCCTGAGGAACTTTCTCTAATAATGAAGCATAAATTTCCTATGCTTTACTCATTAACATGCACTGCGTGGGCAATGTCAGGTTTTCCTTTGGCCAATTCATTTATTTCACTTACTTTTCAAATGACACAATGAATGCTTTTGTATCCCTTTTCTCAAATTTTGGTAGGGCTTAATCATTTTCTTACTGAACTTTAGACTGTGGTTATGATTCTCCCCACTGGAGCGTGCACCAGTGCTGCCCTTGGGGAGGGAGTTCTCACTCCAGCAGCTTTAGGGCCTTGTGTGTTCAAACTGAATGGTTTTCATTGTCCTGTGTGCTCATTACGAAACTTTTGACCTTCATTCAGTATGTTTATGTTGCTTTGGAATAAGTGAGTAATAATACCGCTGTCCATTGTCTTTGCCAGATAACCAGATCTTTGCTTGGGGAAATGGTGGGAATGGCCGCCTTGGAATGACTGCTACAGAGAAGGGCTTTGGTTCTGAAATCTGCAGCTCTTGGCCTCGGCCTATTTTTGGCTCCCTTCACAAAGTCTCGGATCTGTCCTGCCACGGTTGGCATACCATCCTCATTGCCGGTCAGTACTACATGCCATGCCCAGGATCTTTTCACTGATAACTGTTGCAGTCTTCCTATACTGAAACATCATGTCAGGAAGGAAACCTCAAAAGTCACCCCATCAGAAAGAGCCTAATGCTGTAATGAGCCAACACTGCAAATGAATCTCCATAATATCCTCTCATCCCTTTTCACGGTGAAGCTGACTCTCACCGGGGTAACTTTGGTAAATTAAGTTCCTCTGCTATTTCCCTGCCCAAGTCTCCGCCGGCATGGTGGCTTAGTGATTAGCATCGCTGCCTCACAGCGCCAGGGACACAGGTTCGATTCCACCCTCAGGCAACAGTCTGTGTGGAGTTTGCACGTTCTCCCTGTGTCTGTGTGGGTTTCCTCCTGGTGCTCCAGTTTCCTCCCACAGTCCAATGATGTGCAGGTTAGGGTGGATTGGCCATGCAAAATTACCCGTCGTGTCTAGGCATGTGTAGGTTAGGTGGGTTAATCATGGGAAATGTAGGGTTACAAGGATAGGGTTGGGGGGTGGGTCTGGATGGGATGCTTGGGATTATATGCTTGAGCTCTGAAATGGGATCTGAACCCATGACATTTTCATTGAGATGGTGTTGTACTATTGACTGAGGCACAACTGACTCTGTGATGCTGCTGATGTGAACTCTTAGAACATGCGAATTTTGTAACTAAAAAGATCTCCATTTTTCAGTTTAATGAATTAGTGGTAGCTGCCCGCTCTTTAATTTCTTCATGGTGACCCTAGACCCTTTGTGGAGCTCTCTGCTTGTTTCTGTCCTATTTGAGCTCCGGAAATGTACACTGTGCCCTTGTTATTCCAGAAATGGTGGTTGCATCGAAAACCATTCGATCAAACAGCAGTGGCCTGTCTATTGGAGCTGGTGAGTGTGAATGAACTATAATCATGGATCACGGTGACATAGATAATCCTGTTGGATAATGGTACAAGGTCTCAGGCTCACAGACTTAAGGTTTTGGTCAAAGGAAGCAGCGGGGGATGTGAGGAACAGTGCATGTTTTGGAACTCACTAACCATGAGGGTTGTGGAAGCAGAGGCAAGCAGTTTTTTTCTTAAAGAAATGAGTTGAGTACAAAAGGAGTAGAGTGGAGCAGTGGAACTGACCAGAGAGGCAGCAAGGATTTGAAGCGTGTGTTTCACTGTAGCTCTCTTGGTGCGAATGTCCTTGTGCGGGTGCCTGTGCCGTGATGTGTGCATGCATGGGGTAAGGTGTAATGCTTGTATGTGTATGCATGCTGGTTTGAGTGTGCACACCTATATGTAAGGGTATACCCCCCTGTGCCTGTGTCTGAGGGTGTATCTGCCCATGTCTGTGTGAGAGGGTGTGTCCACCTGCGTCTGTGTGTCAGGGTGCTGTTGCACCTGCCTATGTGTTGGCTGTATGTGTGTGTGATGGTTTGCTGCTTGCATGTGTCCTTGAGTCAGGCTGCTGCACTTCTTAGGCAGTGAGCTGGTGTGTGTGTGACAGTACGGTGTATGTGCCATGGTGAGCTCGTGGGTCTATCTTGTTGGGTGTGCGCGTGTCATGGTTGTATATGTCTGTCACTTCGTGCTTCGGTCACTGTATATGGGTGTGTCAGTCAGAATCAGTGTGTTGCTGAGAGGGTGTATGTTAGTTTCAGGGTTCATGTGTCCCAGTGTGTTTACGGGCTTACAACAGGGGAGGGTAGAAGTTTGTTTACTGAGAATCTGAGGGATGGGAGAGGTCTCACAGTGCGAGCAAATCCATTGTTTAAAGCCTTGGGTGTAGGTAAGAGTCATTAAGCTGATTCCCTCAATTCAAATATGGTTATGTGTGTCTGTGTTTGCGTGTCTGTCTATATCTGTGTGCGGTTGTGGTTTACAGGCTGATGTTACTATTGATGTCAGTGTATTTGCTTCTGGCTGTTTGCTGTTCTCTACACAGCACACCAACCCCTTGTATCTGACCCTCCTGATGACCATCCAGTTCCACAGGGCTCGACACTGGAGGATGACTTCAGGAACGAACAGGAGGATGATGGGCAAAATGGGATGAAAAGAACAGCAGAGGACAGGCGAGGAATTGGAATGTTAAACCCACTCAAGTCTACAAGTAATCTGACCGAGAGCTCCTGTCCTGAGTGGCTGTTACAGGTGAATGGTGACAGAAGGAGAGGGTTCAGATATCTGGGCATAGGGGAAGGGAGAGCAGTGGGAGACGCAAGCTCAGTGCAGCTCTGTGCTGAACCAGTTGAGCTGAGTAGCAGGTAAGTCAACAGGGTTTTGTGGTTAGACTCGGTTAAAGAAGCCCACGTTGTTACACTGATCACTTTGCTGTTATGGGGACTGTAGGCAAATGCACAACAGGTTGAAGAATATCAGCAAGCTGCTCACTACTGAAAAACAACATGGATAGCAATTAGAGAAACAGGAAAGGCCACCCATAGAACAAGCCATGAATCTTATCAGAAGGAAATGGGAAAGTGGTTTATATTATCATAGTGGCTGTAGCAAACTGACAGTCACTCCTCAATTCCAGGGCCAGCCCTCTGGGTGCTACAATGCAACAATACAAAACAATATCCATTTAAGGGACGCGATTACTTTGTGTGAGTCCTGCAGGACAGTATTAGTCTGCGTGGGTGCTGTGGGACGGTGTTAGTCTGTGTGGGTGCTGTGGGACAGTATGAGTCTGTGTGGGTGCTGTGGGACAGTATGAGTCTGTGTGGGTGCTGTGGGATAGTATGAGTCTGTGTGGGTGCTGTGGGACGTTATGAGTCTGTGTGGGTGCTGTGGGACGGTGTTAGTCTGTGTGGGTGCTGTGGGACCGTGTTAGTCTGTGTGGGTGCTGTGGGACGGTGTCAGTGTGTGTGGGTGCTGTGGGACGGTGTCAGTGTGTGTGGGTGCTCTTGGACAGTGTTAGTCTGTGTCGGTGCTGTGGGACGATGTCAGTCTGTGTGGGTGCTGTGGGGCGATGTTATTCTGTTTCTGTGCTGTGGGACGGTATGAGTCTATGTGGGTGCCATGGTACGGTGTTAGTTTGTGTGGGTGCCGTGGGACGGTCTTAGTCTGTGTGGGTGCTGTGAGATCGTATTAGTCTGTGTGGGTGCTATGAGACGGTGTTAGTCTGTGTGGGTGCTGTGGGATCGTAATAGACTGTTTCGCTGCTGTGAGACGGTGTTAGTCTGTGTGGGTGCTGTGGGATCGTAATAGACTGTTTCGCTGCTGTGAGACGGTGTTAGTCTGTGTGGGTGCTGTGGGAGGGTATGAGTCTGTGTGGGTGCTGTGGGACGGTCTGAGTCTGTGTGGGTGCTGTGGGACGGTGTTAGTCTGTGTGGTTGCTGTGTGACGGTATAGTCTGTGTGGTTGCTGTGGGACGGTGTTATCTGTGTGGGTGCTGTGGGATGATGTTAGTCTGTGTGGGTGCTGTGGGACGGTCTGAGTCTGTGTGGGTGCTGTGGGACGGTGTTAGTCTGTGTGGTTGCTGTGTGACGGTGTTAGTCTGTGTCGGTGCTGTGGGACGATGTTAGTCTATGTGGGTGCTGTGGAATGGTGTTCGTCAAGGGTCAACTGTATTGCTGTGTGTCTGGAGTCATGTGTAGCGCAGATCGGGTATGAATAGAAGCTTTCTTACCTTTGGGACATTTGGGAACCAAATGTGTTTTTCCGACAATCTGCAGTGGATTCATGGTCATGAATAGACTCTTATTTCTCACTTTTTATTGAATTTGCATTCCACCATCGAACGCGGGTCTCCGCGCAACAGCATTATTTCTCAATGATGTGTGATTGAACTGCCTGCAGTGCTGTTGAGGTCTGCATCGACCCTGCATCCCACCCAGATGCACTTTCTTACCCCTGCCCTGTAACCCTGCATTTCCTGTAGCCAATTCAGCTAAACTGCACATCTTTGGACTCTGGAGGAAACCTGCACAGACACGGGGAGAATGTGCAAACTCCACACAGGCAGTCTTTGTGGGGTGGAATTGAATTCAGATCCAGGCCTCACAGTAGAACCCATTTCTGAGGAAGCGTCACCGGATCCGAAACGTTAACTCTTTTTTTTCCTTCACAGATGCTGGCAGACCTGCTGAGCTTTTCCAGCAACTTTGTTTGTGTTACTGATTTAGTCGGTTTGAATTAACTGCGCAGACAGTTGTTGATGGAAGTGATGCAATTGGCATCACACAAACCTGGCTCCAGGATGACCAAAGATGGGAACTCAACATCCAGGGTTATTCACTTTTCTGGAAAGACGTTTCGAAAGGGAAGGGACGTGGGGTAGCGTTGCTGGTTAAAGAGGAGATTAACACAAAAGTAAAGGAGGACATTAGCCTGGATGATTTGGAATTTATATGGGTGGAGCTGTGGAACCCCCAAAGGGAAAAAGATGTTAGTGGGAGTTGTGTACAGACCACCAAACAGTAGTTGTGATGTTGTGGACTGTATCAAACAGGAAATTAGAGATGCATGCAGTAATTATGGGTGACTCAATCTACATATTGATTGGACTAACCAAGCTGGTTGCAATATGATGGAGGAGGATTTCCTGGAATGTATGAATGTATGATTTCCTTGACCAATATGTTAAGGAACCAATTAGAGAGCAAGCCATCCTAGACCAGGTATTGTGTAACGAGACAGGATTAATTAGCAACGTTGTGGTGCAAGATAATTTCGGGAAGAGTGACCATAACACTGTAGAATTCTTCATTCAGATGGAGAGTGACATAATTAAATCTGAAGCTAGGGACCTGAACTTAAAGAAAGCTAACTTCGATGGTATGAGGCATGCATTGCCAACGATACTGAAGGGGTTGACAGTGGGTAGGCAATGGTAGACAATTAAAGAACACATGGATGAACTTCAACAATTGTACATCCCTGTCAGGTATAAGAGTAAAACAGGGAAGGTGGCTCAACCATGGCTAACAAGGGAGATCAGGAACAGTGTTAAAGCTAAAGAGGAGGCAATTAAATTGGCCAGAAATAGTAGCAAACCTGAGGACTGGGAGAAATTTAAAACTCAGCACAGGAGGACAAAGGCTTTAATTTAGAAAGGGAAAATAGAATATGAAAGTAAGCTTGCAGAAAACATAAAAACTGGTTGCAAAGGTTCTACAGATATGTGAAGAGAAATAGACTGTTGACGACAAATGTAGGACCTTTGCGGTTAGAATCAGGTGAATTCATAATGGACAACAAAGAGATGTAAGACCAGTTGAACAAATACTTTGGATCTGTCTTCACTAAGGAGGACACAAATAACCTTCCAGAAATGCTAAGGGACAGAAGGTCAAGCATAAAGAAGGAACTGAAGGAAATCCTTATTAGTCAGGAAATGGTATTGGGGAAATTGATGGGATTTCAACCCAATTAGTCCCTAGGGCCTGATGCTCTGCATCCCAGAGTACATAAGGAAGTGGCCCTAGAAATAGCGGATGCATTGGTGATGATTTTCCAGCATTCTGTAGACTCTGGAAGAGTTCCAATGGACTGGAGGGTAGCTAATGTAGCTCCACTCTTTAAAAATGGAAGGAGAAAGAAAACGGGTAATTATAGGCGGGTTTGCCTGGCATTGGTGGTGGGGAAAATGCTGGAGTCAATCATTAAGGGTGTAATAACAGAGTCTTTGGAAAGCAGTGACAGAATCAGTCCCAGTCAGCATGGATTCACTAAAGGGAAATCATGCTCGACAAATCTTCTGGAATTTTTTTTGAGGATGTGACCAGTAGAATGGACAATGGTGAATCAGTAGATGTTGCGTATCTGGACTTTCAAAAGGCTTTTGACAAGGTTCCACACAAAAGATTAATAAGGAAAATTAAAGCTCATGGTATTAGAGGTAATGTATTGACATGGATAGAAAACTGGTTCACAGACAGGAAGCAGAGAGTTGGAATAAACGGGTCCTTTTCAGAGGGGCAGGCAGTGACAAGTGGGGTACTGCAGGGTTCAGTGCTGGGACCCCAGCTGCTCACAATATACATTAATGATTTGGACAAAGGAATTGAATGCCATATCTCTAAATCTGCAGATGACACTAAGCTGGGTGGCAGTGTGTGCTGTGAGGAGGATACTAAGAGGCTGCAGAGTGACTTGGACAGACTGGCTGAGTGGGCAAATGCAATATAATGTGGTTATCCACTTTGGTTGAACAAACAGGAAGGCAGATTATTGTCTGAGTGGTGGCAGTTTAGGAAAAGGTGAGGTGCAATGAGACCTGGGTATCATGGTGGAACAGTTGCTGAAGGTTGGCGTGCAGATGCAGCCGGTAGTGAGGAAAGCTAATGGCATGCTGGCCTTCATTGCGAGAGGATTTGAGTATCAGGGTAAGAATGTCTTGCTGCAGTTATACAGGGCCTTGGTGAGGCCACACCTTGAGTATTGTGTGCAGTTTTGGTCGCCTAGTTTGAGGAAGGACATTCTTGCTATTGAGGGAGTCCAGTGAAGGTTCACCAGACTGATTCCCGGGATAGCAGGACTGACATTTTCATGAAAGGCTAGGCTTTTACTCGTTGGAATTTAGTAGAATGAGTGGGAAATCTCATAGAAACATGGGACTGGACAGGCTAGATGTGAGAAGAATGTTCCCAGGAACAAAAACAGAAGTTGCTGGAAAAGCTCAGCAGTTCTGGCAGCATCCGTGAAGAGAAAATCAGAGTTAATGTTTCGGGTATGGTGACCCTTCCTCAGAACTTGTTTTTGTTCCTGATTTATAGCATCCACAGTTCTTTCAGTTTTTATGAAGAATGTTCCCAGATGTTGGGAAGGTCCAGAACTCGGGGTCACAGTCTAAGAATAAGGGGTAAGCCATTCAGGACTGAGATGAGGAAGAATTTCTTCACTCAGAGAGTTGTGAACCTGTGGGATTCCCTCCCATAGGAAGCTGTTGGAGCCAGTTCATTAGATACATTCAAGAGGGAGCTGGACGTGACCCTTGCGGCTAAAGGGATCAAGGGGTTTGGGGAGAGGGTGGGAATGGGATACTGAGATTGCATGGTCAGCCATGATCGTATTGAATAGTGGTGTAGACTTGAAGGGCCGAATGGCCTACTCCTGCACCTATTTTCTATGTTTCTATCTTAGTCAAGGCTACATGTGTTCAGAAACTAGTAAATGGGGAAAAACAATGTAGCAGATGCTATTGCAATGAACAGTGTACCAGTTGTTAAATGTAAATCTGAGATGCAGTAAACAGTAGTAACTGCCTGGTTAAGATCTTGCAGCTTTGCATAGACATTGGATACACATTGGTTGAAGTTTGCAGCATTCTCTCTCCTCAGTGAGTGGTGGGGGTGGGGGGCTTATGCCAATACCCCTATCGGCTGATTATATGTATGTATTGACAGTTAACGTGTGCATGGTGAGATTTCCAGCTGGATGAAGGGTAGGATATATACTGAGTACATGGACAGCGTTTACTGTGTGGCGAATGGGAATGGTATAGTTTATGTCGACTGAGGACACTGAGAGTTCATCTGTGAAGCAGGTGTCTGGTGTGCACTACTCATCTGTTTCACTTTGGGTGTGTGTTACTGCAATGAATGAGATGTCAGGGAGTGAGTGAGTGGGCAGCCTGATGCTTGCTGACCTCCTCCAGGTGAATTAATGGCTATGTCCTTTTGGTTTTCCAGGAGTTGGAAAATGCTGAGTTTATCCCAATTCCAGAAAGTCCTGGAGACCCGGCCAAGCTGCTGACATATTCCTGTCAGGAAACACTTCCATATGAGAAGCTGAAGGAAATGAAGACTGCAGTGAATCTGCCGGGTGAATCAGAAAAAAGCAAGCTTCCCATGGTAAGTAATTAACACTTCACTCTGTCCCTGCATCCCCTAGCTCACTGTCTTGTTCGCTGTCTCGCTCTCGCTCTTTCGCTGGCTCTTTTGCCCTCTCTTGTTCTTTCGCTCTCTCTCATCTCGCTTGCTCGCGCTCTCTTCTGCTCTCGCTTACTTGCTGTTGCTCGCGCTCTCTCGCTTGCTGTCTTGCTCTCTCTCATTCTCGTTCTCGCTCTCGTTTTCTCTCTCACTTGCTGTCCCTCACTGTCTCTCGCTCTTTCCCATTCTCTCTGTCTCGCTCGCTCTGTTGTCCTCTCTCTCTCGTTCGCGCTCTCTTGCTCTTTCCGCTCCACTCTGGCCCCCCACCTCCCTCATTCTACCACCCCACCCCTACTCCCTGTCACATGCTCTCCCCAGTCCATGCTATCTCTCTGTCTCCGCTCCCCCCGCTCTCTGTCTGCCTGTCTGTCTCTGCCACACTGTCTCTCTTTGTTTCTCTGCCCTGCTCTCTCTTTCTGTCTCTGTCCCACGTGCACTCTCTTTCTTTCTCTCTCAGTCTCTCTTTCACTCTCTGTCTGTCTCTGCCTCGCTCTCTCTTTCTCTCTGCCCCACTCTCTCTGTCTTGTTCGCTGTTTCCCTCTGCCTTGCTCTCTGTCTGTCTGTCTGTCTCTCTCTGTCTCTCTCTCTCTCTCTCTGGCTCTCTGCCTTGTGCTGTCTCTCTCTCTGCCTCGCTTGCTCCCTCTCTGCCTTGCTAGCTCTCTCTCTCTCTGTCTCGCGCTGTCTGTCTGTCTATGCTCCACTCTGGTCCTCTCTCTCTGCCATCCCACCCCTACTTCCTGTCCCATACTCTCCCCACCCCATGCTCTTTCTCTGTCTGCCCCGCTCTCTCTGCGCCGCACTCTCTCTCCCTCTGCGCTGTGCTCTCTCTCCCTGTCTTGCTCGCTCTCGCTGTCTTTCTCTGCCCCGCGCACGCTCGCTCTCTCTCCCTCTCTCTCCCTCTCTCTGCCTTGCTCACTCTCTCTCTCTGCTTCGCTTGCTCTCGCTGTCTCTCTCTGCCCCGTGTATGCTCTGCCTCTCCCCCATTCTGCCTTGCTCGTTCTCGCTCTCTGTCTCTGCGCCGCTCTCTCTCTCTCTCTCAGCCTGTCTTGCTGTCTCTCTATCTCTGCCCCGTGTTCCCTCTTTTCCTCCTCTCTCTCACTCTCTCTTGCTACCCCTCCAGGCAAAAAATCCTGTTTCGGAGGACTGTTCCCACTTTGCGACATCACCCTGCCTGTGTAGAGATTTGCAAGATGAATTGGGGAGGGTGCAGCAGATGCTGACACAGTGTTTGACTCAACAACAAAGTGAACAGGAAGAGCGGGAGAAGCTCAGTGCTGAGATTCAGAGACTAAGCAAGGAAGTTGGGGCAGTGTCTCAGGTAAGGAGCTTGTAAGTGCAGCATTGATTCACACTGACAATTTGTAATATGAAAATAAAGACGTTCACCCCTCTAAGTAAGCCAAAGCTCAGGTTTCTTACCGTCCCAATTTGGAAATATATCTAACTAGATCAAAATCCTGGAATTCCCTCCCTAAAGGCATTGTGGGCATCCTTATAGCACAGGGACTGAAGTGATTCAAGAAGGCAGCTCACCATCATGTATTTTTAAGATAGTTATGGATAAGGATGAGACTGGTCCTCAGGTGAAAGTGCTAAATTTGTGGGAAGGCTAATTACAACAGTATTAGGCAGGGACTGGAGAAGTTAGATTGGGGGCAGCTGTTTGAGGGTAAATCCACATCTGACATGTGGGAGTCTTTTAAAGGCCAGTTAATCAGAGTTCAGGACCAGCATGTTCCCGTGAGGATAAACGATAAGGGTAACAATATTTGGAAACGGTGAATGACAAGAGATATTGAAAGTTTAGTCAAAAAGAAGTAGGAAGCATATGCAAGGTTTAAGAATCTGATGAGGCCCTTGAGTTTTTGAGATTTGTAGCTCGAGTTGTGTATGAGGTTACAGACTTGCTCGCTGAGCCGGTGGGTTTGGTTACAGACGTTTCATCACCCTGCTAGGTATCATCATCAGTGCGTCTCCAGTGAAGCGTTGGTGTTCTGTCCCGCTTGTTTTTTTTTATGCCTTGGTTTCCTGGGGTGGTTGGCATCAAGGGTGGGAGGCCCTTGAGGAATATAAAGGAAGCAGGAAAGAACAAGGAGTTAAGAGGGCTAAAAGGGCCCATGAAATGTCTTTGGCAAGTAGGATTACAGGGAATCCCAAGGCATTTTGTACATAAATTAGGAGCGAGAGTGTAGCTAGGGAAAAGGTAGGTCCAGTCAAGGACAAAGGACGAAATGTATGTGTAAAGCCAGAAGAAGTTGATGAGGTCCTTAATGTGTACTTTGCATCGTTATTCACCAAGGAGAAAGACATGGATGATGGTAAGATTTTTCTAGGGCATGTCGATATTAAGGACAATGGATTCATGGTCATCAGTAGATTCTTAATTCCAGATACTTATTGAATTCAAATTCCACCATCTGTCATGGCGGGATGTGAACCCGGTTTCCCAGAACATTGTCTGGGTCTCTGGATCAACAGTCCAGCGATAATACCACCAGGCCATCACCTCCCCTTGAAGGTGTAGGGTAAGGTTGTAAAGAAGGTGTATGGCATGCTTGCCTTCATTGATCAGGGCACTGAGTATAGAAGTTGGCGAGTCCTGTTACAGCTGTATAAAACGTTAGGTAGACCACATTGGAGTATTGTATGTAGTTCTGGTCCCCACACTATAGGAAGAATGTGGAGGCTTTGGAGAGAGTGCAAAAGAGGTTTACTAGGATGCTGCCTTGAATGGAATGGCATAGTATATGGAGAGATTGGATAGACTTGGATTGTTTTTGCTATAGCATCGGATCCTGAGGGGTGACCTGATAGAAGTATAAAAAATTAAGAGAGTCATGGATAGGGTGGATCATTAGTCTCTTTCCCAGGGTGGAAATGTCAAATACTAATGTATGTAGGTTTAAGGTGAGAGGGGGGAATGTTCAAAGGAGATATGCGAGGATGTTTTTTTACACAGAGGGTGGTAGGTTCCTGGAATGCACTGCCAGGGGAGTTGTTAGAAGCAGATACAATAACAATGTATAAGAAGCACTCAGAAAGACATATGAACAGGTAGGGAACGGAAGAATCTGTGCCAGTGCAGGCAGATGGGATTAGTTTAGAAGGCATCATGGTTGGCACAGATATAGGGGCTGAAGGGCCTATTCTTGTACTGTACTGGTCTGTGTACTCAAGGGAAACTAGGGATGGGCAACAAATGGTGGTCCAGCCAGTAATGACAACATCCCGTGAGTGAATTCAAACAAACGCACACCCTAAAGGAAGTTCTTTCAGTCTCTCTGCCCGAGGAGGAACAATAAGGTTTTATCCTGATCTCTCGGACAAGGTTTCAGAAGCCAGAGACATGAACCTAGCTTTCCTCAACTGAAAAATGCGAGCACAAACTCTAATCCTGCAAATGTATTTCAAACACAACAGCCAAAAAACCCAGTAATAAAGCTGTCATGTGTTTTTTCTGAAGTGAGTTACAGCAACCAACACCAGCCTTTGTCTGGAACTACATGGTTTCCAAGAAACTCCCTCTTTTAAAATGAAAGATCCAATGTGTATTTTCATTGCGCTTTTAGAAAACACAATCCAGGTGTCTCAATAATGCTCAAACTCAGCCCCACAACAGTTACTAAATGTGGGGAAGAATCTTCATGCCAAAGAGCACAGCAGCTGCTAAACACAACTCTCCTCATGTGCAGCATCTTAGATCAAACACTTAAATCAGACTTAACTGGAAGCAAACCCTGAAGTATCAAGTGACTAACGTGTCTCCCTGAATCTCAAAGGGCCTGGGACCTGAGGGGGTATTCACCTGGATGTGGGGGGATTCCCTATTGCTGGAGGTGTGCACAAAGGACCAGGTGTGGGAGGGAATATTTCTCAGGCTGTGAGGAGGGTAAGAGTGTTGACCTGTTCTGTGTTCCTCACTGAAATCTCCTCCTTGTGCTTTTCCGAACAGTTACAAGACAACCTGACAAAAAAGCAGAAAACTATCGACTGTCTGGAAAAGCAGGTCAGTGTTGCCATGGTAAAAGTGTCATTGTGCCTGAGCTGTCAGGGTCAATATACCTGTGTAACAGTGGAGCACTCACAGTTTGCATCTGACCTGAATGTTTTTCTGCATCTACCTGTTTCTGTTCACCTGCTGGATTTTCTGATCTTCTGCTAATAAAACCCTGTCATGTTTGGTTCACAGCTGCAAGTTCAGCTGGAGGAGAGTCACAGGCTCTGGTCTGCCATTGAAGAGTTGAAAACCCGAAGATTGGACAGTGACGGGAAGGAAATGTCAGACTCGTTGGCTGTTCTGAGGGTGAAGCCTACAGTTATTTCAACATCTTGTCTGCAATCTGCAAGTTCAGACATTGACTCAAAGCCGGGCACAGATTCCAGTCTAGACACTAGTCTTGCAGCCGCTTCTCCTTCTGGTTCTTTCTGTCAGATTGAGTAGAGTTTGAATGGCTGTGCCATTGAGCACTCACAGCTTTCATCCAGTTCTTCTGGGCTCCACTCAACTGGAAAACTGGCAAGGGCTTTTGCACCTGCCAGTGTCGGAGAATTTGTGCTATGTTCCTGCCCCACGCAGAAACTACCGAAAGCAAATGGGTGAATTATAGGAACAGTGTTTTTCAAGATAACAGTGCTTTGAGTATTTTAACACCCATTGGTTGAAGCAGTTTGACAGTGTGGTTTATATGGGTTGGTATTGAGAGAAGCCAGCAGGGCTGTTGAAACACATTTGCCTGTTTACTCCAAGTTGCGTACAAGGTGAGTTTGCTTAAGTGTTTATCTTTCTAGGAAATGGTCCATGCCCATTTGATTTTAGATGTGGGAATGGGTCAGTTTGTAACTTCCAGTGCCTTAAAGCAGTAGAATTTAGCCCAGTCCGTGGCACAGTCTAGTGCCTTATATCCAATCAGTGTTTATGAACATTTTGCACAGAAGTCACGTCTACAGAGCCTTTGGGTGTAACAGTGATAAGGGTGAAATGCCTCACAGTAATTACTTGCTGAACACTTCTGTCGTGGATCTCTCCAATAACTGCAAGGCAGAGGTAGGGAAGGGTTGTGTGTCTAAGCTGCAGTTCTGAGGCAGGAGTTGCAGGTACTGAGCTGGAAACTGAGTTGCAAGGAGAAAGAACAAAGCATAAGGCCTGAAATAAACAGAAGGTTCTGAAGAGTTACAGCAATGCAGTTGGATTATGGAACGGAAGGATTGATGTTTGAGGTCTGCTGGGTTTGTGCCAGACTGGCATCCCACCTCAATCCCTGTTACTGGGGTAGTTTTCCCCAGTGTAGAGGGGATACTGGGCATCGGGGTCATTGACAGAGCACCGCTGCCTAAAGAGTATTGAGTAGAAATCCTCTGTCAGTGGAAGCTTGCATCACCTCAACAGAAGGATCTTGCACATAAAATGCTGGCTTCATTCCAGAATATTAGAGACATGGGATCTGGAAAGCAGTTGAAATGAATTTTTGGGATTTGATACTAACTCAGCAGGCAGGCAGTATCTGTGGAGCAGAGTTATCGTTTCATGTGCACGTGACTCAATATGAAGAGCCAAACTGGACTTGAAAGGTTAATTCTGCTTTCTGTTTACACAGATGCTGCCAGACATGCTGATTTTCTGGTTATTGTTTGTCTTGTTTCAGATTTCCAGCATCCCCAGTTCTTTATTTTATTCTAGGATTAAATGTGGCTGTGTGTAGGAGCTTCCTGGTGCCATGATCCAGGGTTCAAGTAAAATGAGTAGGATTCCAATAGAGCCATCTCTTTACATGACCTGCAGCTGTATACACATTCCTGAACAGATATTAATTGGGGTGCTGGATCATAAATGCAGTTATGGATTCTTAGATTCAGCAGACAATTAGAAATTAGATGTTGATCAGTCTGTAACAAGAACAAATAGAAAAAGTTTGATGTGGTGGGATTCTGTATGTTTGGAGTGAGTAGGAGGAGGTTTGGTTCAATGAGATTCTATAATTTGAATGAGATTTGCATAAGGTGAATAAGTGATGCTGATTTCTAATGGGTGATGTGTATCTGTTACTGGTTGGTGTGTAAGTGTAATCTATAAGGCAGGATTCATTAAGAGATTTTAGAGCTTTACTCCAAATCATCTACCTGCTTATGCTGATCCCAGAGATCAGGTGTTAACATACTGTGTTCAGGAGACTACATTTGCCCTGATCAATGAATGTGCTGTCAAGGATGTGAATTTGAGGGCAAGCTGGGGAGGAAAGTGAGGGTGAGAGGGTCATGCGAGCAATGGTAGAGAAATAGGGATGGAGGGTAATATTAAGAGGAGGTTGGGCATGAATTAGATGGGGGAAGTATTTGGGGATTTGGGGAGTGAGACGAACTGTACGGTGTGTGTTGGGGGCAGTGAAGGAATTATTGGGCATTAATGAGGGAGGATCATTTTTGAGGTTGGGTTTTGGGGGTGGTTTAGAGGTGATCCAGAGTGTATTTATGACAAAGAGATACTTTTGAAACCTGATTTCTGCTTGTGAGATGTTTTGGTCACAAACCCTGATTATGAAAATACCTGAGCCCTGGATCCTCTCAGTTAGTTTAATTTTTTGTAACTCAGCTGTTTCTGCATTTTTCAACCCAGCTCCAGTGCTTCTGACAGGATTCCCTGTAAAAAGCATCCTGCGCATGGCTTATTGTTCGAATTGAAATGTTTATGAAGCTGCTTACACTTTCTCCCTATGTTTTACATTAGCTCAGCCCCTCTCTGCTTCTGTTTATTGCTCCTGACCACAACAGATCTGGTTTACAAAGTCTCTAAACACTAAATCATGTCTGAACACTAATTTTATATGCTTAAAATCATTTAGAATAAAGGTGTAATCACAATAAAGTACTTTGGATCTTGCTCTGTCTTGTACCTGTTTACTGTATTGCTGCCAGTGTAATGTTGCCACTTGAAGGTGAATACCTATTTGGAGGGGCGCAAGGCAGCACAGGAAACAGGGCAGGTAGTCAGAATGGGGCACAATACAAATGGTTGGGCAAGCAGAGTTGACAGCAGGTTATTTAAGATGGCAGAATCGAGTATTCAGTTTGAGAGTGAGAAACCTGGGTCAGAATCATGTGTGCCAAACATAAAGATGAGTAACTACAAAGGAATGAAGGCAGCATCGGCTAGAGTGGACTGGGAAAGGAGATTAGTAGTAAAGATGGTTGAGGAACAATGGCAGACTTGTAAGAAAATAGTTTGTGATGCACAAGAAAGACACATTCCAACAAAGAAGAGAATCCTAGGAAGGGGATAAGCGAACCATGGTTAATAAGGGAGGTTAAGGATAGCATCATTTTGAAAGAAGAAAACATACAATATGGCAAAGATTAGTGGTAAATCAGAAGATTAGGCAAGTTTTTAAAATTAACAAATTATGGCCACTAAGTAATAGAGGCAGACAATGAATATTTAGAGTAAACTTTGAAGTGATATCATAACAGACAGTAGAAGAACTTCTTTAAATATCTAAAAAGAGAATGAGTTTGGGAAATTTTTAGCAGATTATCTTTCTCGAGTGAAGTATCAAAAAATAAACAGTTGGAGGTGCTGGACACTACGAAGGCAATTGGCCTTGACAACATTCCAGCAATAGTACTGAAGACTTGTGCTCCAAAACTTGCCGCTCCCCTATTGTAGCTGTCCCAGTACAGTTACAACACCAACAGCTACCTGACAATGTGGGGAATTGCCCAACTATGTCCTGTACACAAAAAACAGGACAAATCCAACCCGGCCAATTACTGCCCCAACAGTCTTCTCTCGACCATCAGTGAAGTGATGGAAGGTGTCAGTAACAGTGCTATCAAGCAGCACCTGCTCAGTGACGCCCAGTTTGGGTTCCATCAGGGCCACTCAGCTCCTGACCTCATTACAGCCTTAGTTCAAACATGGAGAAAGGAGCTGAATTCCAGAGGTGAGGTGAGAGTGACAGCCCTTAACACCAAAGCTACATTCAACCGAGTGTGGCATCAAGGAGCCGAGCAAAACTGGAATCAGTGAGTATCGGGGGGCAAACTCTCCAGTGGTTGGAGTCATACCTGACACATAGGAGTCAATCATTTCACCTCCAGGGCATCTCTGCAGGAGTTCCTCAGGGTAGGTCCAACCATCTTCAGCTGCTTCATCAATGACCTTCCCTCTATCATAAGGTCAGAAGTGGTGATTTTTGCTTATGATTGCACAATGTTCAGCACCATTCATGACTCCTCAGATACTGAAGCAGTCCGTGTCCAAATGCAACAAGACCTGGACAATATCCAGGGTGGGCTGACAAGTGATGAGTAAAATTTGCACCCACAAGTGCCAGCCTGTGAACATCTCCAGTAAGATGTCCCTTGACCTTGAATGGTGTTGCCATCACTGAAACGCCCTCTATCAACATCCAGGGTTACCATTGACCAGAAATGTAACTGGACTCACCACAAACATAGGCTACAGGAGCTGGTCAGAGACTGGGAATACTGCAGCAAGTAACTCACCACCTGACTCCCCAAAGCCTGTTCACCATCGACATGGAATACTCCCCACTTGCCTGGATGGGTGCAGCTCCAATAATTCTCAAGAAATTTGACACCATCCAGGATAATGCAGCCGGCTTGATTGGCATCACATCCACAAGCATCCACACTCTCGACCAACACGTCTCAGCAGCAACAGTGTCACTGATCACCAACCAGAAAAGCACTCATTTATCCCCACTCTTTGCTTCCTGTTCGTTAACCAATCCTCTATCCATGCTAATACATTGCCTGTAACACCGTGGACGTTTATCTTGCAGCCTTGTGTAGAAGCTTATCGAATACCTTTTGGAAATCTAGATAGAACAGATCTACTGGGTCCCCATTGTCCACTGCGCTCTTGATGTCTTCATAGAATTCCCGTAAATCAGTTAAACATGACCTCCCCTTTTTGATCCCATGCTGTATCTGCCCAATGGGACAATATCTATCTGGATGTCTTGCTATTTCTTCCTTGATAGATTCAAGCATTTTCCCCTCTACAGAAGTTAAGTTAACTGGCCTATAGTTACCTGCCTTTAGTCTACCTCTTTTTTTTTTTAAACAATAGAGTCACATTTGCTGTTTTCCAATCTACTGGAACTGCCCCAGAGTCCAGTGAATTTTGAAAAATCACCATGAGCTTAATTATTATTACTCCCGCCGCATGAAATGGACCCCCTCTTTGCCACACCGCTCATTTAGCCATGTGTTCATTTCCCTAATTTTCTTATCCCTAAACCAATTTGCACATGGCTCGGGTAGTAATCTAGAGATTATCATGTTATAAAGGGGCCATGGGTCAAACCCTTCTCATAATTAAACCAAAACACCAGCCCCAATCTGTTATGACAGAAGTAGAGGTTCCCTTCTAGTAATTAAACCCAAAACACCCAGAGAAGCTCACTTTACCTTGTAATTTGTTAAAAGAAAGAAAATCTTTGATCCACTCTATAAATAACAAGTAACAATTTACTTATCTTAATGAATAAATTAACAGAATTACTAACAAACCAATTGTTCCCCCGAGTACTAACTATTCCTAACTATTCCCGAACTGAGCTAAATTCTATTAGAATGCTGTCCAAATAAATAAATCCCACTTGTATAAATCCAAATAATAAGACAACAATAAATTGAAACTTAATCTCTCCAAGTTCAGACAGAATGTGTCTTCCGCAATGCTCCATCTACTCCATCAATCATCAGTCAGGAACGTCTTCTTTTTCTGCTGTTCCCTCTGTAATTAAAACTAAATTGGAACTAAAAAAATGCCATGGTACCTTTCATGGGGCTTTTTACAGAGCTTAATGACTTTGAGAGAAAGCCAGTTTATGACTCAGATGGCAGATTTGCCTTCTTTTTTGATGGCAATTGGTTCTCTGCAGATTTTCCAAATGCCTTCTTTTGATGATCTGCCCATTTCTTACACTAGGATTGGTCCCAGGTTATCAACACAATCTGATTTAAATTCATAGGAGCAGAGAGGCTAATCGGGGAACCAAGCGGAGACTCGGGGACCGCTTTGCAGAACACCTACGCTCGGTTCGCAACAAACAACTGCACCTCCCAGTCGCGAACCATTTCAACTCCCCCTCCCATTCCTCAGACGACATGTCCATCCTGGGCCTCCTGCAGTGCCACAACGATGCCACCC